TCTGCCACTGAATCTAACTTGGCCCCTACTTGCTCTTTCCCGCAGCCCCATATCAGCAGCTACTCAGGAGAGGTGATGCCGCTGCTCCTGGCTTACCTGAAGTCGGTGCCCCCAGGGCATACACACCACCTAGCCAAGGCCTGCTATGCCCTGGAAAACTTTGTGGAGAACCTAGGTAGTGACAGCAATGAAGACTGCAGGGGAGGGGAACGAAGCTACAGCTTTGACTCAGGGGAACAGAATGTGTGTTTCCCTGAGTCACTGCCTGTGGTGGGGAGAGGAGAATAGAAGGGCTGCAAGAAAGTCAGCTTGGCAGGAGGAGGTGGACTTGCAGAAGGTCAGAGACTGGGGCTGGTTGGTGAAGGAGCGCCTTTTCCCACAGGGCCCAAAGTGCAACCCTACCTTCCGGAGCTTATGGAGTGTATGCTTCAGCCGTTGAGGAACCCCACCGCCCCGCGGGCCAAGGAGCTGGCTGTGAGCGCCCTGGGGGCCATTGGTGAGGAGAAAGAGGCAGGTGGCGAGGGCATAGCAGTTATTGGGGGAGCCTGTGGCAGGTGGTCCCTGCCCGCTTTCTGACTCTGGTTCTGCCTTTCCATCCTGCAGCCACAGCCGCCCAGGCCTCACTGCTGCCCTACTTCCCCACCATCGTGGAGCATCTGAGAGAATTCCTGTTGGCAGGACATGAAGATCTTCAGCCTGTGCAGATCCAGAGCCTGGGTGACTGTGGGGCTCCCAGGCAGGGTTCCTAGTGCCAGGGAAGGACCAGTGTTCACCTAGTATTTGCAGAGGTCTCTCCCAGGGCAGCAAATTGTCTTCCTTCTCAAGGAAAAAGGCATTCTCCACAATGTACCTGGGAGTAGGGTAGAATGTTTATGAATTCCTCCCAGCTGCCATTTTTGGTGTCTTAGCCCACCCACGTGGCCAGGTGCTAACTGAGCCCTTCCTTGTCCCTACAGAGACACTGGGGGTGCTGGCACGAGCAGTGGGGGAACCCATGAGGCCCCTGGCCGAGGAATGCTGTCAGTTGGGGCTGGGCCTTTGCGACCAGGTAGACGACCCTGACTTGCGGCGCTGCACGTGAGTGACCCCTTCATCCTGCCCCTGCCCCTCCTGTCTACTCACTGGATCCACAGTCCCCGTCCAGACTCCATCCTCTGGTTTTGGGCCACAGCCAGGATTCTGTGTATTCTCCCATCCTGCCTGGCTCCAGCAGGCAGCACCATACAGCTTCTGTCTGTCTCTAACAGATACAGCCTGTTTGCGGCCTTATCGGGACTGATGTGTGAGAGCCTGGCCCCCTACCTGCCGCAGATCACCACACTCATGCTCTTGTCACTGCGTTCCACTGAGGGCATTGTGGTGAGCACAGGGTGGCCACTGGCTAGGCCTCATAGACAAGGGTAGTCCTGCGCTGAGACTTCATCACCTGGGCCCAGACGAGTCAGAAGTCCTGCTGTCCTCCCTCCTGCAGCCTCAGTATGACGGAAGCAGCTCCTTCCTTCTGTTTGATGATGAGAGCGATGGGGAGGAAGAGGAGGAGCTCATGGATGAGGATGCGGAAGAGGAGGATGACTCTGAGATCTCAGGGTACAGAAGGGTGCTTGGAGAGGTTCGGGCTTTGATGGGTCCATGCTGCTCTGTGGTTATTGGAACCTGATTACCATCTGCCTGGCTGTCTTGTGCTAGGTACAGTGTGGAGAACGCCTTCTTTGATGAGAAAGAAGACACCTGTGCTGCCCTGGGGGAGATCTCCATGAACACCAGGTGAGCATCAGCCCTTTCCTGGCACTGGGATCCTTCCCTAGGAGCCCTTTTCCCATGGCTGTGTGTCTGTCCATAGTGTGGCCTTCCTTCCGTACATGGAGAGTATTTTTGAAGAAGTATTCAAGCTGCTGGAGGTAAGTCAGTAAGTGGGCTGGATGGATGGCGCCGTGGCTGTGCTGACTGTGCCAGTGGGCACACACCTGCTCTCTTCGTTACTCAGTGTCCTCACCTGAATGTGCGGAAGGCGGCCCATGAGGCCCTGGGCCAGTTCTGCTGTGCGCTGCACAAGGCCTGTCAAAGCTGCCCCTCAGAACCCAACAACGCTGGTGAGAAGGGGAGGCCAGGCCAGGCTGGGAACTCGGGAGGAAGGAGCAGGGCCTGACTGGGGCTTCAGCCAATACTGTCCCCAGCTCTGCAGGCTGTTCTGGCACGGGTGATACCATCTTACATGCAGGCAGTGAATGGGGAACGGGAGCGCCAGGTGGTGATGGCTGTGCTGGAGGCCCTAACAGGAGTGCTCCGCAGCTGTGGGGCCCTCACACTGCAGCCCCCGGGGCGCCTTGCTGAGCTCTGTAGCATGCTCAAGGCTGTGCTACAGAGAAAGGTGAGCAGGGCAGGGGGCTGTGGGAGGTGCTGGGCCCAAGGTATGCATAGACCAGTACAAATCCAGCTCCTTGTACTGCTCCACCCCCAAAGGGGAAAAGGCAGGAGATCCCAGGTTTAGCTGAGCTACATCTTCCTACAGGTAGCCTGTCAGGACACCAACGAGGAGGAAGAGGACGACGATCAGGTGAGAGCTACAGATAACAACAGGCAAGGCAGCCCAGCTAGTCCCGTGGGGCCAGGGGTAGACAGTACAATCAGCTTGTCCTGAGGGAGCCAGGGCTGCTGGGAGAGATTGGTAATGGCTGCAGTGATTCAATCCTGACCCCACTAAGACAGTAGACTTGGGGTGGGCTTGAAGTAATAGACGGGAACAGGAGAATCAGGGCTGCAAAAAAGCCCAGTGTGGAAACGGGGCAGTCCATTAACCAGGGCAACTCCTGGAGCACCCTGTGGCCATTGGCAGAGCAGAATGGAGGGCTGCATAGTCACAGAGCCGGCCCAGGTACTCCAGCCCCTGACCTGGCTCCACAGGCGGAATACGATGCCATGTTGCTAGAGCATGCTGGAGAGGCCATCCCTGCCCTGGCAGCTGCAGCTGGGGGAGATACCTTTGCTCCTTTCTTTGCTGGCTTCTTGCCGTTTTTGCTGTGTAAGACGGTGAGTGCACCTTCCTCTGACTGCAAACTCCAGCCCAGCCATGCACCCAGTGCCCACTGTACATTGTGTCCCAGTGCCAGGCTCATTTGCAACCCTCCCCTGCCCTTGCCCACAGAAACAGAGCTGCACAGTAGCGGAGAAATCCTTTGCAGTGGGGACACTAGCAGAGTCCATTCAGGGTCTGGGTGCTGCCTCAGCGCAGTTTGTGTCTCGGCTGCTCCCGGTGCTGTTGAGCTCTGCCCGAGAGGCAGATCCTGAGGTGCGGAGCAATGCCATCTTTGGGCTGGGCGTCCTGGCGGAGTTTGGGGGCCAACCTGCTCAGGAGTATCTTTGGCTTGCAGCAGTGGAGGGTGGGGCAGGGATAGTGTTCCCTGGGCTCGAGGAGGGATAAGCTCTACCTATGTGTACCTGTTCCTTGACCAATGACCAGCCACTTCCCCAAGTTGCTGGGTCTCCTTTTACCCCTCCTGGCACGGGAGCGACATGATCGTGTCCGTGACAACATCTGTGGGGCCCTCGCCCGCCTGCTGATGGCCAGTCCAGCAAAGAAGCCAGAGCCCCAGGTGAAGGAGAGGGCATCAGGCAGGAGGGTGGTGGAGGGGACAGGATTCAAGGCCTGAGCGTCTGTGTGTCCAGGTGCTGGCTGCCTTACTGCATGCGCTGCCACTGAGAGAAGACTTGGAAGAGTGGGTCACCATAGGGCACCTCTTCAGCTTCCTGTACCAGAGCAACCCTGACCAGGTAATCTTGATGCTGGCAGCCCTCAGACCCAGTGACACACAAAGGTGATGTCAGTGTCAGCTGTAGCTCATGCAGGGTTTCAGTGAGTCCTGTGGGAGAGAAGGGGCTTCCTCTTCCCATGTTTTTCCTCAGTGACTTGCATTTCTACTTCTGCCCTGAGCTTATAACTGCAACTTCCCTAGGTTAATTTTCTAAGCCAGGGCTAGCACACTGTTCTGAGCCTGGATACCTTTGGGTACCCCAGTGTATATTTCAATCAGAGAAACCCTGCTTTTTGAATAAAGTTTTACATGTAGCACATAACTGGATTTGGACTTCTGTACCCCTGTTTTTGTGTTGTCTTGGAGCTTTAGAGTTGTGGTTTTTTGTTTTTGTTTTTTTTGTCTGCTGTGTTGGAGAGTGCCTTGTGTCCAGGCTTCTTTTGGTCTTGAGGCTGGCTATATAATCATCTGTGGTCACACGTCTCCCATCTCCTCCAAAAAGTTATTACCATGCATTCTTATTCCTCCTTGTGTCCACATTTGCTTTAGATGCCTGTGGATTAGTTGTGGGCTCAAACAGCCCTGGTAGGAGACTGCTTGTCCACCTACCATAGTGGCCCAGGAGTGCTACTGCCCCTGACCACTCCTTTCCCACAGGTTGTAGATGTGGCTCCTGAGCTCTTGCGCATCTGCAGCCTCATACTGCCTGACAACAAGATCCCACCAGGTGAGGGTGCCGGTATTAGGCAGTGGGTGGCGGAGGCTGGGAATAGCAGGGCTCTAAAGCCGTGGGGCAGTAAAGGTTTGGAGTCCAGTCCTCCCTGTAAGCATTCCCTGTGCTCTCTCTGCCCCAGACACCAAGACTGCCCTGCTGCTGCTGCTGACGTTCCTGGCCAAACAGCACGCCGACAGCTTCCATACAGCATTGGGCTTACTTTCTGCTGAGAAGGCTCAGGAGCTCCAGGCCATGCTGAGCCTCACCTAAACTTCAGAGAAAGCCGAGCCTGCCCAGGCCCTAAGACCATCTCTCAGCCCAGTTCCAACTCACACCTTACCAAAGATTCTGGGTCTCTGCTCCGTTTGGAGTCAGCCCTGCTTGCTGCCTTATGTGGTGTCCTTGGGGCTGGGGCTGTTACAGGTGGAGTCACAACGTCATATTATAATAAAGGCAGTTTGTTTTCTGCTTGGACAGTAGCTCTGCAAGCAGGCAGGCTAGAAATGCGCATCTAGAAAAGAGGCAAGCAGGCCTAATGAGGCAGGACATAGTTTAATAAAGCCTGGTTTTTAGCAGCCTTGTAGATGGGCTCGACCCTCAGTGGAATCTGGGCCCTGGCCGAATCAGGAGACGCCCATATGGCTCCTCTTGTTCCACAAGAAAAATCTGCTGTGCTAAGAGCACTAGACAAGAAAAGAAAAAAGAATTTTCGATTAATAAAAGGAAAAAAGCTTTTCTAAAGAGAAAATGCAGGTCACAGGGATTTCCTCTTACGGCCTCTGTTTTGTGTCCCTACCCTACTTTGCACACTCACCTAAGAGCAGGTAGAAGACCCTGGCAGCCATCCTGCGAGGGCTGAGAGGTGATACCAGGCTGCTAAAGTCGGGCTCCCTGTTGGCCTGGAGCTCCAGTGCCACTGCTCTGTAGGAATCAAGAACCATTAGATGAATCGGGCATAGTGGTACACACCTGTAATCCCAGTACTCAGGAGGCTGAGGCAGGAGGATCATTGTGAGTTCAAGACCAGCCTGAGCTACAAAGTGAGCTCAAGGCCAGCCTGAACTATGTAGTAAGATTTTGTCTCAAAATGACAAAAAAAAAAAAAAAGGAACCATTAGCTGAGGCACCAGCCTAGTCTACCCCGTTGAGGTACCCTCTCCCCAGTACCTGTGCACGGCCTCCAGTGAGAGTAGCTCAGGCTCTGGAGGTAGCTCCAAGGGGAGTTCTATGGGCACCTCAGGGAGTTCAGGCACCACTGGCAATGCAAGGGGCTCTGGCTTCTCTGCCTCAGCCCAGGGCCTAGGAAGATGGAGTTAGAGCAGTGACGTAGCAGCTATGGCAGTAACAAGGGGTACAGCCATCCTAGTCATTTTTGCACCCTAGCCAGGGCTGCAGGCCCAAGCTCACACATAGCCTAGCTGCTTACCACCGTTCTTCTGGTGGGGCAAGGCTGATTCGGGACTTCTCCTCTTCAGCTGCTTCTAGGGAGAGTTCTGTTGGGAGAAGCAAGATGCTGAAGTGGGGTTCTGCTTTGCTCTAAGCAGTCAGGGCCTTGGGACTAGACTGGGGCTTGGCTCAGAGGTAGAGTGGCTAGCATGCAGGAGGCCGTGGGTCCAATCCCCAGCACCACACACGCACAACCATGTGCCCACCCAGACAGCAGAGCTGTGTTAACCTGTCAAAAATATTTAGGTAGATGATCTGCAGAGAATCAGTGTGCGTCTTTACATTACACACCCTTGATCTGATAATAGCATTGCAGTTGGAACAGTAATGAGGGTGGTGGTCTCCATTGTCCCCACTTGAATAGGTCCTTTACCTGAAGATATCATGAGGGGACCACTAGGCTCCTGGGCCTCTCTCAGGACCTAGAGATGAAAGAAGGGGAACTGAGGCACAAGCATCTGGGGCTTGGGCTGGCCAGCAGCTTGTGCTATTGATCTGTAGCTGGAGCCTGTTAGAGGTCAGGCAAGGCGGTGAGGTGCTGTTACCTCGATCTCGCTCAGAGCTTCAGTCTTTCTCCTCTCCTCCTCAGCTGCTGCCTCCCTTGCAGCAGCCTCCTCTTCAGCCTCCAGGGATGGTCGTCGCCTGAGCACTGTTGGGATCTGGGCACAGTGGGTCCAGAAATCCAGTAGTTCTGGGGGTAACCAGCCAGCTGGGGATGAGGGGACAGCGTTTAAGTCATAAGGAACTTCTGAAATGTAAAATCTGGGTGCTGAAGATCCCATGTGCCCAATTCCTGCTGTTCTTACGGAGAGTTGGGGTTTGGAACAGCTCCGCAGGGCTTGTGATTGTCTTCTCCGGAGGCTGCACCATTGGCTATGGGGAAGACAAGGTCAGGAGCTGTTACTGGGGAGCCACCCTTCTGTGCCCCTTCACCTCTGTTGTGTACTTTTCCGGTCCCTGGACATCTCCCCTTTTCAGGCTCTTGACCCTTCCTATCCTGCTCATTGACAACCACTTTTTAACCTGGTGTGCACAGAAAGTTGAGTGAATATGCAAACACATGCATGTTCGAGGGAATGGGGGCTCTCATCACATTCCCAGTGCTCCCCCAGGAGTTCTGAAGGCCCAGCTTGCCCTGTGTCTGTCCCTTCCCGCAGCAGAATCTGGGCTGCACTCACACACTCCCTGCAGTGAGCTCTGGTTTGCAGTTGTTCCTGGAATTTCTCCCGGGAGATCTGAGTTTCCTTGTCCCAGAACAGCAATTGGCGGCGGCGGCGGCGAGGTGGTGGGATCCGGGGAGATGGGGGCCGCCTCTGCTGAGTGAAAGGGGAGGTGGAGGCAAGGCTACCCATTGCCCCGTTCCCTGTCATCTTGGAGGCCTGCTAACGGCCGCACGTGCTGCCCTTAAGGGTTCCTGGGGAAAGGGGCTTAGGCAAGGCCTCCACAGGCTTGTGCAAGAGCCTACTGACTGGAAAGTGAGGGCCGGGGATATAGCTCAGCAGTGCAAGCACAAGGTCCTGAGTTCGATTCCCGGTACCAAAAAAAAAAAAAAAATCCAAGAATCTCTTTACCCGGGATATAGCTCAGCAGCACAGTGTCTGCCTGGCAAGTGCAAGGTCCTGAGTGTGATTTCCAGTACAAAAAAATGGAGAACTACTTCAGAAAGCGGCAAAAATGATGAGATAACTTTGGAAAGTGAGGCCACGTAGGTATGGAAAAGGACATCTTTTACTGACATGCACAAAGTCTTCACATACCACTAACCCTGAGCTTGGGGAAGCAGCTCTGGGAGGGGAGGGCCAAAAGGGGGAGGAGACTCCTAAAGGACACCACTCACCTCTGGGCTGGGTGGGGCCGGCAGGCGCAGCTCCAGTGGGGGAGTCACCTCTGCAATGACACCAGAGGTCCTGGCTTTCCCATAAACCCCTTTACTCCGGTTGCCAGGACAAGAAGCTACAGGTTTCTCCCACCCCACCTTCAGCAGGTTGGGAGACGGCTTCTGTCTGCAGCAGCTATGCAAGTATTCCCACTATCATATCCTTGTGGACACTCACCAGGGAGCAGAGCACTGGGCTCCCAGCCTACCGGCTTCAGCTCTTCAGGGGCTAGGACCTCACCAGGAAGTGGCTCTGCAATCCTTTCTATCCTGTAGGAGAACAGGAGAAATTACAAACACCTTTCCCAGCGCTGACCCTCCTACCTGGTCCAGGAACTGCTGCCCTTACTCTGCAGGAGCTGGAGGTGAGACTGAGGGGACTACAATTTCACCCTCCAGGGCCCGGGGCTCTTCTTTGAACTCTGCAGAGAGAGAATCAGAGCTCAGAGGACAGAAGGGTTAAGGGCCCTCCCAAGTCCCAGACTGCATGTGCCAGGGGTCTGATCATCCAGTACAGGCTGGGCTGTAGGTGGCTGGGGAGGCCTGCCTTTCCGATATTCTTCTAATAAGATCGCTTCATCTTCCTCTGCAATCAGCAGGTCCAAGTCTCGTCGGCTGATCTCTGGGAGATCCCGTTCACCCTATCAAGCGAGGAAAAATCAAGGGGAAAGGGACTTAATTCCATTTGTTCATTTATTGGGGTGTTTTGTTTTTGAGACAGGGTGTCACTGTTCAATTCAGGATGGTCTTGAATTCAGTATGTAGCCCAGGCTGGTCTTGAACTTGCTGAGATCCTCCTCCCATTGCTGCAATTACAGGCGTGCTGCACCACGCCTGACTCAATAGTTCCATTTATTTTGTTTTGAAATAGGGTCCCATGGGCCGGGGATATAGCTCAGTGGCATAAGTGCTTGCCTGGCAAGCCTGAAGTCATGAGTTCGATTCCCAGTACCAGAAAAAAAAAAAACCAGGATCTCTATGTAGTCCAGGCTGGCCTCTCACTCTTGATCCTCCTGTCTCAGCCTCCTCAGTGCTAAGATTACAAGCAGGGACCACTATGCTTGGTTCAGCTCCAGTGCTGTAAGAAAGTGGAAAGCCAGGCATGGCGGCACATTCCTCTAAATACCACCACTTGGGAGCCAAGGCAGGAAGACACTGCAAGTTCAAGGCCAGCCTGGACTACAAAGCAATACCTTGTCTCAAAGAAAAAAAAAAAAAAAAAAAGCCTGGTGTGGTGCCAGATGCCTGTAATCCCAGCACTACAGGAAGATCGTTGCGAGTTCGAGACCAGCCTGGGCTACAAAGTGAGCTTAAGGCCAGCCTGAACTGCATAGTGAGACCCTGTCTCCAAAAGACAAAAAAAAGCTGAGTGGATCTAGGAGAGTGAACTGGAGATGGATGCCATAGGGCCAGGCCTGATGAGGCCCACTGTGTGTACTGAAGTGCCAGGAAGAGGGACAGGAAAGGGAGACATGGGGACAGGACGGTGGGCGACAGAGAAACATGCAAGGGGCCGGGTCCAAGGTCCTGTGCACAGGGGAATGACTCACCTCGATCCGCAGCATGCGTATGGGCTCCACCTCCAGGAGTGTGATGACCTCAGGAGACGGCACAGTAACCAAGAGCTCCTCTGGAGGGGTAGGGGAGTCATGCCAGCCCCTCTGCTGCTTTTCAAATTCCCAAACCCATGTTGTGAGGCAAAATCAACCTGGATTCTAGTCAGACCCAAGCCAGCTACTGGCAACCTGACCCTGAGTACACCGACTCACCACTGGGAGCCTCACTTTCCTCAGCCATAAAACAGAGGCGTGAGTTCTGACCTCACAGGACTCTTGGGGGATGGTGATGAGGTTACACATATGGGGCCTGGCTCAAAGATGGTCATTTCTTTAGTTCTTGGACCTTCCTATGCCTCTCACCAGAAAGGAAGTTTTCTGCTGACCTGGCTTCTTGGGCTCGGTAGGAACTTCAGGAGGGGCCTCGGGAACTCTCTCCGGGACTACAGCCTCTAAGAGATGTCGAATCTTCAGGGAGAAATCGGGGACAAAAGTTAGGGTTCCATGTCAGTCTCTGTTTCCACACCACTCAGACAATGAAAGGTAATGTGGTAAATTTCCCTTTATAGCTAATTCTTTTCTGGAATAGGGGGAATGCTGGGGATTGAACCCAGGGTCTCCTGCATGCTAAGCAAATGCTCTACCACTTAGCTACACCTCCAGCGCTATACCTAATTCTTATGACATGGACACCAGCATGCAGTAAACCTATTTGCCACTGCGTCTCCTCTCCTCCTGTACCTGCCCTAATCACAACCCCCAAATTATCTAGCCTTTGTCAATTTGGGCAAGAAGCACTGCATATTTATGTCAAGTGTTGTAAGAGAGAGGTGAATAGGAAAGATTTTTGTGTATGTGGGGGGTGGATACTGAGGATTGGACCCAAGGCCTTCACACTGAGCTATATCCTCAGTCTTCCTTCCTTTCTCCCTTTTGCTTTCTCTTGCTTTGTAATTCATTTATTTCATTTTGAGATGGGGTCTTGTTAACTTACTAAATTGCCCAAGCTGGACTTAGTCCTCCTGCCTCAGCCTCATAGAACACTAGGATGATGGACATGCGCCACCATGCCCATCTAGGTGAATAGAAAGATACCTGATCTTATGCAGATGGTCTGCTGGGGAAACACATTTGTATATGACCCCAACCAGTGTCCACACAAAGGGTGAAACAGACCCTAGTAGAGTGCTGAGTTTCCAAAGAGCATCTCCTTCTGGCTGGGAGTGGGCTAAAGACTTCTTGGAAAAAGGGTATCATGTGAACTAGGGCTGTACAGATATGTAGGGGAGGTAGGGTACTCTTTCACTAGTAGAAAATGAGGAGTGACCATGATGGGCCAGGGCAACTTGTTTTGCATAAACGAAGTGAATGTGGGGGGTAAGGGGGCAGATTGGTATGTGGAAGCCAGGGATGCCCACAAGACATGCTGAGATAGAAGTACGGGGAAGGCCGTCTGAGCTGGAGCACAGAGTGCACAAATGCCAGGAGCCACGGTTCAAATGCGGTACTAGGCAGCAGGGTGGCAGTATCTAAGCTGTGGGAATGCTGGGAATGGATGAGGAGGAAAAAGATAAGGAAGACCAGTGCACACATGGTGAGACCTGGATTAAGGTCCTCGCAGTGGGCACTGTGTAGAGATAAACAGGAATAAAAGCTGCCTCAAGAAAGTTTTTTTTAAAAAACTTTTTTTTTTGGTATCAGGAATCGAACTCAGAACCTTGTGCTTGCCAGGCAGACGCTATGCCTCTGAGCTGTATCCCTGGCCCAAGAGCTGCCTCAAGAAGGGAGACCATCATTAGCAGACAAGTACGAGGGGCTTTGCTGCATGGGCCCTTGCTGACAGTCCTTCTGCCCTGTCTCCCGAACCTCAAGGTCAGACTGACAGGGGACAGCACTCCCCTTCTTCACTGTCAGCCCATAACTTTGAAGTGTTCCAGCAAACTGAGCCCTACCTGAGGGATTTCAAAAGGGCTAGGAAGTTTGGGGGCCACAGACATCATCCCGAAGAAGGGGTCTGGAGCATCTTCCAGGGCCTCCATCATGGCCAGGTGGTTGGGAAGCAGCAGGCTGGGTCTAAGGGAGAGTGCACCGTCAGGGATGGAGACTGAGACAGGCTCAGGCCAAGCAGGTAGGTGCTCCACCAACGTCTGGGTGCCCCAACCCCCGGAGGATACTTACAGCTCAGTCTCTACCATATCGATGCGGATCTGCAGCTGAGCCCGGTGCAGACGCTCCAGGATGTGCTGGATATCCTCTGTGGGCAAGAAGGGCAAGGTGGACAGCCAGCCTAGGATAAGGCTGCTCAGCACTGCCCCGCCTCCCGGGTTCCCAGCCTTACCCACAAGGTACTGGCATTGTTGAGAGTAGACCCGGATGACGCCGATCTGGAGCTGGGCAGAGAGATAGAGAGAGAAGCGGGGCCTGGGCAGGCCGGGCATCGGTGGTTGCACTCGGACCAGCACATAGTTGAGGATTTCCTCGCTGGGGGAACAAGGCGCCCCTATCGTTCCTGCCATAGCCCCAGGCCCCCAGCGTTGCCCTCCCACCACACGCACCCCGCGCCGGCGCCCCAGACCCTCCGTCCTGACTTCTCTGGGGCTTACCAGGTCTTCACCACGTTCACCTTCAAGTATTCGCGTTTCATCAACCGGCTGCCGCGCGTCGCCGCCAGCCTGGAGGAGGAAAGGGGGTGGGGATGGAGGGGGCGCCATCAGCCTGGGCTCCCTGGGCGCCCCCTACCTAGCCCGCGTACACCAGCGGGCCCTCACCAGATGGTGGCGAAGCAGCCGGTGTGGCGCTGAAGCACGTTGGGGTAGTAGAACATCGTCCCTCGGGCTTCAGCTTGGACTCCACCTTGGACTCCACCTCTCCTTGGTTCTCCTTGAAGTTCTTTGGAGATTAATGAAGCAATTAACTGGGGAGCTTAAACAATGAAGGGGATGGTGAAACAGACCCCGGAGCTCGGACGCTGCGCCGCGAGGGCCCCAAGTGGCTCAGCAGCCGCCTGGGTGCGTCAAACTTACTGGAGATGCGGCTTCCAGACTGGAGATGGGGGGCTCCAAGGGGAGGCCCGGGGTGGGCCCCGAGCAGCTACCAAGGCAGCAGGTGGCCTTTGCAGCCTCCGCTCTCGAGCCCTGGCAGAGGCTGAGAACCAGGGTCTCGCTCAGTTTGGCTGGCCCTCCCGCGCGGTTGCGGGGCTGGCTCACGCAGCGCGGAGCATGTGCTGAAGAGGGCTTCACACCGAGCTCCTCTTGGAGGCTTCGCGGACAGCCAATAGGGAGCCAACGTCGGCGGGAACGCTGCTCCTGTTGCCAAGCCACGGCCTGGATTCCAGGCCACAGAGCCTTGGAGACAGGCAGCAAACCAATCAAGGACCCCGGCGAGGCACGGTGAGGTGTCCTGGCCAATAGGGTCTCTCGTTTTCGCCTTTAGTAACAAAGACTTCTTAGAGGCTGTGTGACCAATGACTGCGGGGCAAATCCAGCTTCTCCCTGGCAGCGAGCTTAATAACAAAGTGTCTCAACTAGTAGCCAGAAGTGGGGTCATGTCGGGGGCAACTGGCTGCTCAGGCTGTCCCTACAGGCAGATGGGTAAAGGAGGGGCAGGCCCCAGACTTATGCTGAGATGCTGCGCTCTCCCCCAAATTCCACCAGGTCTGACTTTGCATCCAGTTTACAGGAAGGGGAGGGGAGCAAGAGAGACCTCACCGGGGCCATTTTTGTTTGTTTGCTATTGTTTCTTTGAGACAGGGTCTTCCTAGGTAGTTCAGGCTGGCCTTGAACTTGCTATGTAGCCTTGGCTGACCTCGAACTCCTGGTGATCTTCCTGCCTCAGCTTCTTCAATGCTGGGATTACAGGTGTGTGCTACCACTCTATTTCTTAACATTTGAATAATTTGGGTTGGGGGCTGCTCCATCAAGCCTTTTGGGCTTGTGTTCCCATGGCTGAAGCGAGACTTTAGATTTTTGTTAGATGGAGCCTATATTGTTTGGCTTACAGAGACGATTTCTCCGCAGTGTGGTGCATGCTTGAAGTCCCACTGCTTTGGGATCACAAGCTCAAGCCCACCTGAGGCAATTTACACCTCCAGTCCAGAGCCCAACACTAGGTCTGTTTTTTTTTGGGGGAAGGTTTTTTGATGCTTTTTTATTTATTTTTATTTTTTGGTACTGGGAATTGAACTCAGGACCTTGTGCTTGTCAGGCAGGCCCTTATGCTGCTGAGCTATATCCCCAGCACCCCCTTTCCTTTTTTTTGAGATAGGGTCTTGTTTTGTAGTTCAGGCTGGCCTTGAACTTGTGACAATCTTGCTTCAGCCTCCTGAATGCTGGGATTACAAGCATGCACTGTCGTGGAAAAAAGGATACCGGACTTTTTCAGATGGTGTAAAGAACCAAAGGTACATGCTGCAAAGGCAAAGAAAGATTTATTTCGCCAGACGTGGTGGCATACGCCTGTAATCCCAGCACTCAGGAGGCTGAGACAGGAGGATCACTGCTGGTTCAAGGCCAGCCTGAGCTACAAACTGAGCTCAAGGCCAGCCTGAGCTGCACAGTGAGACTCTGTCTCAAAAAGACAAAAAAAAAAAAAAAAAAAAAAAAAAAAAAAAAAAAAAAAAAAGATTTATTTGGCCAGCCTGGCTCAGAGAAGTTTGTGCCATGTAACTTCTGAACACTGACGATAGTGTCACAGAGGTCTTTATTAAATTTATGGCAAAGGCAATCATTCAAAAACAAATGTATCACTCTAACCATTTGGCTCACCTCACTCAGGTAGAAAATCTAACCTGAGAACTTGTAAAACCCCACTATGAGCATATCAAATTGTGGAGGAAGGGGCAGAAACTATTGTGCTCTTGGGAGATAGAGGATTGCCCTTTAAAATACACCAATTTCTTCATAGGGTATTGTTATGTAGTTCAGGCTGGCCTTGAACTCATCCTGCTTCAGCCTCCTGAGGGCTGGGATTACAGGCATGCACCACCATACCCAGCCCCTTGCCTGTGTTTGACATTCAAAGCAGAGGCCTCTAGCAAAGAACTGTGGAGAGATTTTCTCATGTGAAGTGCTTATAGCTGCCTGTCGTTCAGTTGTTGGTTCAGTGACCCTCTTGGTGGCTGACCCCAACCTTTTTGTTTGCTTGGTTTTTTTGTTTTGTTTTTTTTTTGAGACAGGACTTCAGTGTACACAGTTCAGCTGGGCCTTGAACTCACTATGTGGCCCAGGCTGATCTTGACCTCAAGATAACCCTACTTCCTCAGCCTCTGGCTGGGATTATGTGTGGACCACTACTCCTGGCCCCTACCGCTCGCTTATCTTGGTTTCCTAGTGGGTCTACCTCTGAGGAGTACTAGGCCCGGAACCCATATGGCCCAGGCAGCTTCTCACCCAGAGCATGTAGGCAGAAGAGAGCAAAGGAGCTTAGAGATGTCAGCAAGAAGACAGCCCAAGTGCCCACATACCTATCTCCTACACCCCTGCTGTCTTCTCCCAGTAAAGCAGACAGTGATTCTTCTTTGAATAATACTTTATTTTAGATCTTTCGTGAACATCTAGGAAGAAATATAAAGTGCTCAGCTTTAGCGTTGAGGCTTGGGGAAGAGGGAAAGGGCCCCTGAGTTCATACTATTTGGAAATTTCCCAGTTCCTTAGACATAAAAGAGAGTATACTGAGGCTGGGGCTGTAGCTCAGTGGTACAGTGCTTGCCTAGCTTGCCTAGCTTGCCCAAGGCCCTGAGGTCAAGTCACAGTACCACCACCAAAAACAAAACAAAACAAAACAAAAACAAAAACAAAAAAGAATATATCTCAAACAGTTTTTCAAAGGATAAAGTGTTCTCCACCAGTCAGGGCGCACAGAGGCAAAGACGTAACTCAGAGGCAGATCACACCAGAATGAACATAAAGGGAGGCAGATCAGGAGAACGCGTCCTTTCCCAAGGAGACAGGAGGAACAGAGAGATGCAGTGGCAGGTGGATTCCCCCGGCTCTCCATCAGGAACTGAAGGGCTGTGTGCAACTCTGGACTCTCTTCAGTAAATGCCGGGCAAAGGCTTGCTCCATCTGTATCCAAAGAGATGGGGACCAGGCCTCAGGAACACAGCAGAGGCAGACACTCTCCCCAGGAGCAGCCTCCCCAAGGCCCCCCCCCTTTACCACCCCCCAACAGACGGTTCACTCGGGCCCTGCTCTGACTCACTTGTACTGTGATGGGATTCTGCAGAGTATGGCTCGGGCCAGGGCTCTCCTCCCAGAAATGCAGTGTTACCTGGAACTCGGGTGGGGGGCCCAGGCACTGGGAGTACCTTTCCAAGTCTGAAAGAAAAAGGGCCAGGGAAGGAATGGCAAGGAGCCCGCGATGATGAGAGAGGCAAGTGGGGCTACACGCAGATGAAGGCCAGAGCCCGAACTGTGGGGCAGGAGACGCCAGGAACTAAGCTGCCACCCCTGTACAAATAGGGAAGGGAGCCCCTTCCTCAGAGGCACCTAGTTACTGCACAACCTGGAAAGCTCTCTTCCGGGAGAGTTCTGAGTCCTAGCAGGCGGCAGCCCTGGTTGCTGCCACCTCTGCTGCTGTCAGACTCTCCCAGCACCAGCACACCCAAGGCCCTGGGAACCCCACATTCCACATGCCCTGTGCTTGTGGCCCCCCCCAGGTCAGAGGTAGAGTTGAGTGGCAGCTGGAACTGGAATTCCAAGAGCGGATGGAGAGGACAGTCACCCGCACCGTGGCGGGCCCAGTGCAGCAGGCCGGGCTGTGAGGCACACGGCTCCCGCATGGATGGGATGAAGTCAGTGCACGTGGAGAGGGGGCCCACCAGGCTCCAAGTCTCTGCACTCGTCCACACATTCACGTAACTACTGTGTGCTTCAATGTGACAATGCTCCCCAGAACGTGACGCCCTTATGCTAGGCTCCCCCAAACCTCATCTTCTGTGACCTTGGCTAGGGAGGGACAGTGGTCGGGGCTGAGCCACAGCCATGTGGGATATGCACAGGTGAACGCAGTGGTGCCAGCAGAACAGTCTGCTGGAGGACAGGGTGGCGGCGGGACCCACCAAGCCAGGCCCAGGGGATGCGAACAGGAGGCCGGGCTAGGAGCCCAGCTCAAGCAGCCTCACCTCTTTGAAAGCAGGAGGTTTTGAACAGCTCCACGCACTTGTTGCTGGGCAGCAGATGTGGGCCCGGCCCAGGGGGGACTTGGGGTGAGTTCCAGGAGATGGGGATGGGACAAAGGCGCTGCACAAAGAGACCTCGGGAGTTGCTGGCCACCAGGATGCCTTTCTCGAGCTGGCTGAGCAGGTGCTGGCTGGGATCCCCTGGGTCAGGCTTGGGAAACATCACCTGCTTTATGCCGATCTCAGACTCTGAGGCCTCAGCCACAAGGCGACAGTCCAGGCTGCGCACCTGGTGCTTGCTCACCACACGCCCACTGTAGATGAAGGTGAGCAGCAGCGAGTAGTCTGGGGATAGAACAGGTCAGCTGCACCAGTGCGAGAGCAGCACGCAGCTTGGTAGCAGCCCCACGCCCCCGGGGTGCACCTGGTGAGCACAGACTTTAGGAAAATGAAGCGGAGGTCACTGGAATTCAGTGTCCTCATTTTGCTAATAAGAAAACTGAGGCCAAGGAGGGAAACTACACAAGGACTGGGTAGGACTGTGGGGCTGGGGAGAGAGCTGGAACTTCCTGGGCTGAGAAAAGATGCCCTTATTTGGGTGTGGTGGCACATGCTTATGATCCTAGCACTTGCGAGGCTGAGTCAGGAGGATTGCTGCAAGTTTAAGGCTGGCCTAGGCTACACAGTGAGTTTAAGGCCAGCCTGAACTACA